AATGTATCTACTAGAATATTACGTTTGGCTCCGAGCATCTTTCTATCAGACAGTGCTATTCAACAGATTTTTAAAACAGAAACTCACAACCCTAAAATGAGTCCACATCAGTTCCCTGAGATGCAGTAGAAAACAGAGCACCAATAGGCTAAAGTGTTCTGGGCTAGGGTTTTATAACATTTAGTTGCTGTGTCCTTCCATGTAGGAGCTAAATGATTTCCCATGGAGGATCTAGCCTAGTGCATTTTGAGACCTAATATCCTACAAGCATGGCATTGTCCAGTAGATGAACAGGTGCTGAATGTGTCCCTGATAGTGGGAAGTGTTCAATACTGTAAACCTGGGGGGAGGCAGGGGGAACATAGCTTTAGTGGTGGAGTGTGTGCTTAGCGTGCATGAGGTTCTGGTTCAGTCCCCAGTACCACTGCTAATAAAATAAATAAATAAAAATTTAAAAATAAATGAAAATTTTAAAAAATAATGTAAACCTGTAAGTGTGACACAGATGATGAAAAAGAGTTGTTAAGCCAGTGCTGCTGATTTAAAAGCAAAAAATATGTGAGCCAACAAGAATTCAGGCTCATTTATTAAATTATTTGTTTGTTTGTTTTCAGTCTTGGAAAACCTCGAACAGACAATTGTCTCCGGTTTTGGAACACTGGAGAGTCAGCAGGATTTCCGAACCCCAGAGTTTGTGAGTACGACTACTCTGTCTTAAATTTGTATCAGCTGGCTAGAGATTTCTCACAAAGTGGACAAAGAGGGGTTTTCTTCTCTTTCTTTTCTTTTTTGTAATAAAAATGAATTCCTGCCTTTAGTGGCTCTGGATCTGGCACAGGTCTCCCTGGCAGTGACTGTGTGTGCAAAGCTCTGGTCCTGTGAGGAGCAGGTTGCTGAACCTCAGTGTCTTGGCATCATGCTCCGTAAGCTAGTTCTTTACATATTTGTAATGGCAAATGGGAACTCATTCCACAGGAAAATGGCAGCGTGCTTCCAAAACTCCCCTTTCATTCTTCGATACCCCTGCTGTCATTTTCTGCAGTAACTCTGGAAACCTGTCTTCTTTGAGCGCATCCAGGAACACTGACCAGTCTGCTGTCCGTTTCGTTCTGGAGCCTTCAGTAACACAACCCGTACGGATACATCTTGTAGGGCCAGGAATAGTCTGTTGGTGGTTTCTGCCAAGAAGGGAACTAAATGCTCTTCACTAAATTAGACTCATTAACGATTAGCCATGGTTCCTACCCTCAAGGAATTAAAAATCTTATTAGATGCTAGCGTGATTTTATTAATGCCTTGTTTAAAGAAAATTAGGCATATAGGATGCCTGGTGCAGAGTGTCCTTCCTAAATAGATTTTATATTAGGCTCATGTGAGGCGGGGGATGGGAAGAAGTGTTTCTCTGACTCATATTCCACATTATTGCACCAGATGTGTAAGGAAAACATGCCAGGATCTACCGAGATTTACTGATTTTTGTCCCCTGCTGCAGTAAATGGTTTGTCTACCACTTTAGCGATGGAAGAATCTTTTTTTTTAAGTTTATTTTCGAAATATGATATATAGTCACGACTCCACTCCAGTAATTGACAGAGCAGAATTATATTATTGATAATGGCCAAAAAAAACCTTATTATGTGTTTTTCCTCTTCTCCCTCACTCTCTGTGGATTGCCCACTCAATTCAGCCAAGAGTAAGAAAACGAGGCAGTGCTCTGGACTGAAAAAGGATCGCACATGAGACTCTATCCACAATGCCATTTTACTTCAAAGTGTGGGACTCCTGTGGTGTACTAGCAGATTGCCTACTGCGAAAATCACTTGGATATAATAGAAAGGCATGGTATTCAATGACTTCCCTATTATATTCAGCGCGCTTTTCAGTGGAGGAAAATTGTGAATGCTCACTGATATTTCCGCATCTTAAAGGAGCAGCGCAGTTTTGAGTTTTTTTTTTCTTCTGACTTCCGCCGTTACAGTCCCAAAGCAGAATTGACACAGATATTTCACATGTAGGTTTGATCCTGGTACAGACTCATGGAGCTGGCCCTTTGCTGTTTTGTTATTTTCTAGCCGCCTTTTGCTGATAATCTTTAAGCAACATATGTCGTCTAAAAAGAGCTGTGGGCAGTTGAGGCGTCGGTGTGCTTGGTAAACACATATGTACTTCACACCAAGTCCGTGTGTGAAAATATAAGTATTTTTCTCAAGAACAGATTGTAGTATATAATGATGTTTGAGATTGGCATGCCTCAGCAGTGTCTTCCACAGTCTGCGCCGGGAATTAGGCTGGTCACCTTCTTCTACTTTCAGTGTTAATTTCTCGACCCACCACTTTGAACCCTTTTCAAGGTGTGAAGACTGGTGAGTCTAGGCTAGAAGAACTAGGAATGCACCTCAGAGACCACAGAATATGCTTCCTGTTTTGAGACACTTGTCTTTTTTTTTTTTTAAACTGAAGTGTCGTTGATTCACAATGTCGTGTTAGTTTCAGGTGTGCAGCTAGTGATTCAGTCATACGTATACATATATATATATTCTTTTCCAGATTCTTTTCCATTATAGGTTATTCAAAGATAGTGAACATAGTTCCCTGTGCTATACAGTAAGTCCTTGTTGTTTATCTATTTTATATACAGTAGTATGTTAATCCCAAACTCCTAATTTATCTCCCCACCCCTTTTCCCTTCCCCCCATAGTTTTTTTCCCTATGCCTGTGAGTCTTTCCAGTTTGTAAATACGTTCATTTGTATCATGTTTTAGATTCCATATATAAGTGATACCATATGACATTTGTCTTTCTCTGTGAGACACTTGTCTTAACAGTGAGTCTGAGAATATCTACATTAAAAGGAGACTTTTAGACTAAATCCCCATATTTTTATTTTTCACTGTCATTTCTGAAGAATACCTAGGGTCATTTGTTTAGAGCACTTTGGTGGAGCCGAAATGGTCCATCACAGTTTCCTTCTATGTGTGGTTGAGATCAGATCTCTATATCTGGCTGTTCTCTTTCTCTAATTATGTGTTCATACTGTGTTCAGGGAGGACTCTGATTTTCTTGTGCCTTATAGATTTTCACACGTCTGATGCTCATTGCCCACCGCGTCTTGGTATAGGACGTACATAGCTGCTCATGTTTGCTCCTCAGCATCTCTCTAGCCCGTGGACTCCCAGTAAACATACATTTCCCAAACTACTGTCTCCATGGTAAACAAACAGGAGGTGTGGAAGCCACCTTGAGAATAGGGTCCTCGAGGGAATCAGGTGTAATATTTAAGGGTAGCCTCTCTGGGAGGCAGAATGTTACAACATCAGTAAGAACGGATGGGTCTGCTTGGGCAGACAGACGGATTGGGTACATGCCAGGACAAAGCCAGGTAAGCTGATCCACACCAAAATTTTAAACTGGGGTCAGGGGGAGGGGACAGCTTGGTGGTAGAGCACATGTTTAGCATGCATGGTGTCCTGGGTACAGTCTCCACTACCTCCATTAAAAAATAAATAATTTAACTTAATTACCTCCCCCTCCCCCCAAAAAACTTTAAGTTAGAAACAGGGACAACAGTATAAACCTAGGAGCAAAAAGTACCCAGAAGCAAAGCAAAACTGAAAACAGAGAAGACAGAGAAGAGTAAGAGGAGCAGAAAAATCAGAATACTATTCTCCCTGTGGCATTTTGGAAGGTCCAGCTGCAGTCGGCTGAGTTGAACTGAAATCAAGTAGAACTGAAATCAGGCAAGGCGTCACCCATGTTTACTCAGGCTTGGCCCTCAAATAGTTCGGATTTCAGAAGGATCAAGAGCCCAGTGTTTTTCATACAGCAGGGTGTATTTATATAGTCTGGCCGAGAGGGAGAACAAAATCCTTGTCATTATTAGTCCGTGGATGTGTGGGTGAGGGCTAAAGTGAAAAGGACCTGGCTCGATGCTGACCCCATGAGGGTAACTTGGTGACCTCACTACGGTGGGAGACCATCTCAATCATGGTTCAGTCTTTTGTTTAAGCACAATGAAAATCTCTTTTATAACCTGCATTACTAACTTAATATTTTATGCTGAATCTTATCCCATGCCATTTTTTCCCCCCGAGTAGTATTGATATGTAATTGACATGAAGCACAGAGGGAGGCTGGGAACTGAGTACCAGAGACCCAGATAGACTCGTGGAGCTCAGACTTAGAAGTCGAGACTGCAGACGTAGGCAGACTGGTTAGACCCAAGGATAGGGAGCCCTCCACGTGGTGACGGAGCAGGTAGAGGTTGTCCTGCAGTGTGGTGCACGCAGATGTGGGGCATCCTGGGCTCCCCACTCGTGCTCCCAGTCCCAGATGTTGTTAAGAGCAGAGGTGATCTGAGGTGTCAGTGCAGGGGCTCCGCCGTCATAGCTGGCGCAGCAGACCCCAGGTTGATCCCAAGCCCCAAAGATTGGGAAAAAGACCTGGGGATTGAGGGATTAGTAGGGAAGAAGGTTGGGTAGCGATCAAGGCTCTTTCTAGAAACCCTGCCTATGTTGGCACTGACTCAGGCTCTGAAATGGGCCTGATTGCCTGTGTACACATGGGCCAAGGGATGGGGCCTGGGGAGGACCTGGGAGCTAGTAATGGTGAATTTGCTTGCAGCCAGCTCTACAGAAACCAAGCTGCAGCAAACATGAAAACACATGGGAAGAAAGAGAAGGCTAAGGAGTTAAAT